TCTGACATTTTAGAAAGCATAATTCACTGATTAGACCTTTTCTCTCTTGAATGATCAACTTTTTCTTCTCAATTCCTCCCACAGCTTTTAACTGGGCTTATGTCTTTTCCATAAAAAAATAAAGTTCCTTCCTTTAACTCTCTGTCTTGCTCCAGCTACCAATCTCTTTCTCCTCCCTCTTTAAGTCACCTTTTTTCCACAGACTTTTTTTTTTTTTTAAGATTCTACTTCGAAGTAATCTCTACACCCAATATGGGGGCTCAAGCTCACAACCCTTAGATAAAGAGTTGCATGCTCTACCACTGAGCCAGCCAAGCACCCAACTCTTCATTTCTTAATCCATTCCAACCTTGCCTCAGTCCCTATCACTCCACCAAAACTGCTCTGGCTAATATCACCCATAACTACTGTGCTAATAAATCTAACAAAATGTTTCCAATTTTCATCGTATTTGCCCTTCTAGTAACAGCTGTATGTTCATCCTTGAAACTCCTCCTCACTCACTCATTCTTCAGGATTCCTTCAGTCTCACTGGTTGCTCGGTCTTAGTCTCCCTTAGAACTTCTACTACTATATTCGGTCTCTCTTCAGGTACCCCAGCATCACTTCTTCAAGAACATGTTCCAGCAAGCCCCAAGGCTAGTGCACATGCTCTTCTCTCTGCCACAAATATTTTTCTTTTTCATTTTGTAAAGATAAGGCTTTGGATTATCAATTTAGTCATCTCTTCTTCAGAGAAGCTTTCCTTCACTCCTTCCTGTCAAACTGCTTATTTTTTATTTTAGTAAGAGGAATAGGACAAAAAAGGACAAAGAAGTTTTTTGTTTTGTTTTGTTTTGTTTTTTTACTAATCACAACATTAAATTGACATGACATGCTATAAGAACTGAACCAGGATAAATAATACTGTTATAAAATTTACATTTCTCATACCCATTTCAAAAGAAAATATATAGAATTCTTCTTGATCTGACAGATTGATTTCAGTAAGTTCATTTTAAAAATAGTAAATAATAATAATATACTTTCTCAAACTGTGCTAAGATACTGTCAGAAAGGCAGCTATAAAATCTAGAATGATCACAATTGACAGGATTAGGACTGTTTTTTGAAACGTTAAGAACCACATCTCTTTTTTAGCTATTACATTAATGTACCTTTTTCATTGATAATCATGAAATGAAATCCCACAATGGGATCCCACAATGATTAGCTGTGGATCACTGTGGATCCCACAATGATTAGCAAGTTTCTTCTTAAGTAACATACACTCTCGTGTTTAAGACTAAAGTGAGTTTTCTAATTTTGCCCTCTAGTGGAGCACAGGCAACTATCTTTGTCTTTTGTATATAGGTAAGCACATATTGAGAAATGTAGCTGTTGTAATCTTCTAAATTTTATTCTCTCAATTAAACACGGGCAATTTTTTATTTTTAAAAATAAGACTTTGAGGGTCCCCTGGGTGGCTCAGTTGGCTGAGCATCCAACTTTGGCTCAGGTCATGATCTAGTGGTTCATGAGTTTGAGCCCCACGCCTGGCTCTGTGCTGACGGTTCAGAGCCTGGAGCCTGCTTTGGATTCTGTGTCTCCCTCTCTCTGCCCCTCTCTCGCTCACACTGTCTCTCTCTTTCTCTCTCTCTCAAAACTACATAAACATTAAAAAAAATTTTTTTAAATATATGACTTTAAAACACTTTCAGATTTTAAAATAGCAAAGCTTCTAAAACATTGCTCAAAACTGGCTCTCCATTTTGGTATATGACCTGATACATGACACATTTGATCTGTTAGTTTTTTCTATTGACTATACTTTATCCTCAGTAGTGGTTAGTGTTATAGTTTCAAGCAATTTTTACATATAATAGATTTTAAAATGTTTCATTTCACTGAATGGAGAGTTTTATCACTCATGTATCTGTAGAAGGTAATTTGAGCACATACATATTTGCACATGCGTATATATGTATTTTTAAAGTAAGCTACTTTTACCATTAAAATAAAATGAGACTACAGGGACAAACTATGAGAAACAGTTTGTCTTCCTTAGAAATCTTTTCCTAGATTGAAGAAGACAATTTGCTGAATGATTTGATGAGGCTATAGGCTTTTCATCATTTCTTAACCCCACTTAGCCATGTCTCACCCCCACAGCTACATGCAAGTCTACTTCCTCAGCAGCACTAGCCTCCACAGTAACATGTCAAAAACAGGTTGTTGTTGACTGAGCATTCAATGCTACTTGCAGTCTTTCAATAACTCTCACTCTCCACTTTCTGCCCAACCTTGGCATCAAAGTAACTATCAACAGGCTCAAGAATATCTTCCTCTGTAAAATGTACTAGTCATAATTTCTATGTCTCTATGCTCTCTGAAGAATATACACCTTCATTCCAGCTTCTCTCCATTTCCTAACTGCTGGAACTACATCTTCAAAGAATGCTGCTTTCATTCTCCCAGCTGTTAAATGCTGCCTTCTACATGAAGACGTGCACTTGTCAGT